AGGGGGAGGCCTTCAACAAGACGGATTGACACGGTGGCTGCGATGATGGGCTCAAGTATAGCAGGGATTGTGGGGCTGGCGCGGGATCGGGCAGTGTTTCATTCTGCTGTGCATGGGGTCGCTATGAGTCGGAAATGACTCAACAGCACTTAACAACAACAACAACAAACAATCAACAGCATTGGAAGCAGCAGTTAAGAAATCAGACAACACATTGCGCTGGCAAATCTGCTGCAAAAGACCTCTTTGAAGTGCTGAAGAGCAAAGATGTCTCTTTGAAGACTAAAGTGCACCTGACCCAAGCCATGGCGTTTTCAATAGCCTCATATACTTGTAAAAACTGGACAATGAATAAGGAAGACAGAAGAAGAGTTGATCCTTTTGAGTTGTGGTGCTGGCAAAGAATATCGAAAGTACCATGGACTGCCAGAAGAACTAACAAATCTGTCCTGGAAGAAGTGCAGCCGGAATTCTCCTGGGAAGTGAGAATGACCAGTATTAGTCTCACCTACTTTGGTCATGTTGTCAGAAGGGACTATTCCCTGGAGAATATTTGGTAAAGAATACTTGGTAAAGTGAAGGGTCAGTGAAAAGGGGGAAGGCCCTCAAAGTGATTGACACAGTGGCTGCAATGATGGGCTCAGGTATAGCAAGGATTGTGAGGCTGGTGCAGGACAGGGCAATACTTCATTCTGTTGTACACAGGGTCACTGTGAGTGACAGCCAACTTGACAGCACCAAACAACAAGGAATCTAAAACAAAAATACTAAAGATGCAGCAATGATGAGCTCCAAAAGGCTCTTGCAGACTTAACAACAACAAAATAAATGACTAAAAAGAAAGGCTCTTGCAGAGATAAGGAGGTAGGTGTCAGTTTAGGTGTCATTTCTTCCAGGAAGACTTTGCCTGACTTTTCCCTTAACCCAACTCCCTGTCTGGGTCAGGTGCTCCTCTGGGCACCCATGGCAGCCCTATTCTCATTTTATTGAAATTTGTTTGCTTGCCCATTGCATCCATTATATTGTAATTCTTCAAGCGAAGGGACTTGTCTACTACAATGGGGACATAGCATTTAGCACTGTGCTTGGCACTAGGCAGAATTGGCTCAGTACATATACACTGAAAGAGAAAGGTACACGAGCTTTCCACCTCTGCCTATCTGCAACTTGAGAGCAAGGATTGGCTTTTATTCACCTTTATTCCCAGTGTCAGAGGACTCAGTAAATGTTTGCTGAACTGAACTGTATCAATCACAATCTCTTTGCTTAAAGAATGTATCCCCCAACTGCATGGATTCCCTTTCATGGGACAGAATGGCACATGGCTTATGAACAGCAACAATGAAACTCCAACCCGGCAGTCATGCACAGGGTTCCTATCCCAACTGTCATCTATTAACTGTGAGGTCGAACAAGTTATTTCACATTGCTATGCCTCAATTACATCATCTCTAAAAAGGGGAGTAACAGGACCCATTTTCTAAGATGGTTGTTAGGATTCAGTGTTAGTTTTCTGGTCCTGAACTAACCTCTTCCATAGACATCAGGTAGAAATCTCTTGTCATCTAAAATTTGCAAAACATTCATTTGCTCTAAGTGCACTCAACATGTTTCTTTGTACCCTTCCCTCCCCTCCCTCCCTCTCTCCCTGTAAGATGGTGTAGGTTTCTTCACCCCCACCCACCCACCCAAAGTGGTACTGTTTAGGTTGAAGGATATTTCATTCTCTCCTTTCACTGCTCTTTGGGAGTCACTGTGCATTAGTGACTTCACTAGTGGTGTAGCTGTAAAGCAATCAGCTGCTAACCAGAAGGTTGGTGATCTGAAACCACCAGCCATTCCGAAGAAAGCTGTGGTGATCTGCTCCTGTAAAGATTTATGGGCTTGGAAATCCTATGTGGCAGTTCTACTCTAAAGGTCGCTATGAGTCAGAATCGACATGATGGCAATGCATTTGGTTTTGGTTTTCTTTTGGTGCATTTTTGGGACACTAACAGTTATGGCTATAGCTTTTCCAGTCATAGGCACTGCCCTCAATTTCATTCCACATGTACAACTACTTTCCAGCAAGAAAGGGAAAAAAGAAAATGAAACAAAGGAAAAACAAACAAACGAAAAAAACAAAACTCACCACTGACCACTTTACCAAAATTGTATCAGTCAGTATTTATTTATTGAGTTCTCAGGTTTTGAGGAATTTTTTAATAGAAAAACTTTTCAGGGGAAAACTGGTGAAAGCAAAGTACCAGATTCCAAATGCCTGGCTCCATTATCTCACACTAAGTATTTCTGGCTCAGCCACAATCAGGGAAGGACATGTCTTTTCAACCCACACACCTTTCCCCTGAACAATTCTGTCTCCTGATCTCCTTCAGAGTATCCACTGCCCATTAAAAAATTTCAAGATTCATTCTACAACTATTTTATCCTAGAATTTCTTTTTACAACTTCAAAATGTCATTTTTCTTTAAAATTTCTTGAATGTCTTCCACACAGAAAGTGTTGATTTTTGATTTGTCTTAGTAAATCCTCTAGGAATTATTCTGCCTAAAAAGCTTCATTCATCATTTGGTTGCCTTCATCACAATCACATGTTGAGAAGTCTTATTAATATGGAGCATCTAATTCAGAACTCTAAAATCACCTCTAAAAATCTCACGATAATTAGGCTAAACATAGTCACCTATGTATTTTTTTTTTTTTCCAGCTCGTCTTCATTATTCAGCTGTGTTTGGTCTCAGCCAGCTGCTGTTGATGGGGTGGGTTGGAGGTGGGGGTTGCGTAAAAGAGAAAGCTCAATTCTTCAGAGGGGGAACTAAAACACCAGCATTGATTTAAAAGTGTTTCTCAAAGTGGTCTCCCAACGTGCAGCATCAACATTCCCTGGGAACTTGTTAGAAACGCAAATTCTCAGGGCCCACCCCACATCCACTAAATCAAGCACATTCAAGTTTAAAGGACTTGGTGGCTCAGATGTAGCGTTTACTGGAGTACAGAGCCCAGTCAGGATTTCAGAAATGACTGAAAGTAATTCTGTTTAATGGCTCAAGTGACCCTCCAAGAATATATCCCACTTACGTGTATTTCATCTACCAATTATATTACTCCACAGGGCTGACAACTTGATATCAGACTTGCTAATGAACAGCAACCACAGGCTCCTGCTGTCATTCAGTCACAGGCACATTGCCGGCAGCAGAGAGCACTTGACATTCAAGGAAGGGGAGGGTCCAGTGGTGTTATCTGACAGTGACTGACGACAGGGTACTACTTACTTCCTATGCAAAAGGGCTAAGGCAGAAAGACAAGCCTAAATAATAAGCTAACTCCTGTAAACAGTTACTGGATGGAAAAGGTGATGCTGGCAGCTCTCTTTGCAGACTTCAATTCCAGCACCATGAACGTGTCCTTTGCTCACCTCCACTTTGCAGGCGGCTACCTGCCCTCTGACTCCAAGGACTGGAGGACCATAGTCCCAGCTCTCCTGGTAGCTGTCTGCCTGGTGGGCTTCGTGGGGAACCTGTGTGTGATTGGCATCCTCCTTCACAGTGCTTGGAAAGGAAGATCATCCATGATCCACTTTCTGATTCTGAATCTCAGCCTGGCTGATTTCTCCCTTCTGCTGTTTTCTGCACCAGTCCGAGCTATAGCATACTCCAAAGGTGTTTGGGATCTAGGTTGGTTTGTCTGCAAGTTCTCTGACTGGTTCATCCACACATGCATGGCAGCCAAGAGCCTGACAATCATTGCAGTGGCCAAAGTATGCTTCATGTATGCAAGTGACCCAGCCAAGCAAGTAAGTATCAACAACTGCACCATCTGGTCTGTACTAACAGCGATCTGGGCTGTGGGTAGCCTGTTACCTCTGCCCGAATGGTTTTTTAGCACCACCAGGCATCATGCTGGTGTGGACATGTGCATCCTGGATGTACCAGCTGTGGCTAAAGAGTTCATGTCTATGTTTGGTAAGCTGTACCCTCTCCTTGTATTTTGCCTTCCATTACTCTTTGCCAGCATTTATTTCTGGAGAGCTTACGGCCAGTGTCAGAAACGAGGAACTAAAACTCAGAATCTTAGAAATCAGATCCGCTCAAAGCAACTCACAGTGATGTTGCTGAGCATTGCTGTCACCTCTGCTATTCTATGGCTCCCTGAATGGATAGCATGGCTGTGGGTATGGCATCTGAAGGCTGGAAGTCCAACCCCACCACAAGGGTTCATAGCCCTGTCTCAAGTCCTAATGTTTTCCATTTCTTCAGCAAATCCCCTCATTTTTCTAGTGATGTCAGAGGAGTTCAAGGAAGGCTTGAAAGGCTTATGGAAATGGATGGTAACCAGAAAACCTCCAACTGCCCCAGAGTCTCAGGAAACACCAGCTGGCAACTCAGAGGTTCTTCCTGATCCATCTCCAGAGTCCCCAACCTCCATACCAAACAAAGAGAAACCAGACTCTTTCTCCTCCAGCAAAAAGAAAACTGAAAAGGCAGGGATTCCCATTCTCCCTGATGTAGAGCAGTTCTGGCACGAGAGGGACACAGTCCCTTCTGCACAAGACAATGATCCTATCCCCTGGGAACATGAAGATCAAGAGACAAAGCATAGCGATGAATAGATTGTTTCAAAGCAAAGCAAATTATGATTGTCTTGTAGTGCTGCTTATCAATATTGCTGAACTTACCATATAAACTACTGCAAAAATGACATGCTTTACATTCTGCATTTTCAAAATGTAATCTGAAAAGTAGAACACTGTTAGGAATAATGTTTAAGATTATAACCTGGCTAGCCAAAGAATTCATTTTAAGTGTTGTTATATGAAGATACTTGTCATAAGTGATTAGAAAGCTCTGCTCTTTGTTATTTGTTCACAATGGCTTTTTTATGGGGTTACCTTAGGATCAACCCTGTACCGGCTGGAGTAGAGCTTATCAACCAACTTATCTGGGACTGAACCCCTTTTCTAACATTTCTTCCTGAGTCTACTTCATCTAATTTTATTTCACATAATTGTTGTTGTTGTTATGTGCCCTCGAGTAGGACCCGACTCACAGTGACCCCTCCTTGGGTTTCCGAGGCAGTATCACTACAGAAGTAGATTACCCAACAACCTTCCTTCCGAGGAGTGGCTGGTGGGTTTGAACCGCCAGCCTTCTGGTTAGCACTCAAATGCCTTAGGCACTATGCTACCAGAGCTCAAAAATCTTCACTTGAGATTTCCCAGCACATTAATGAATAAATTTTAATGAGTTACCTTCATTTACAAGTGTTAATTTACTTAATGAAAATTCACATCTGATTTAACAGAAGGCTGCAGAATAAACATTACCTTATTCCAATTCTGAGCTAATTTCAAACTATGGCTATTTTGGGTTAAGTTTAAATAAATCTAAATTCTTCCTTATGTTGAAGCCTGTTTTACTGATCTTTTTGAAGCCACCTCAATGACTCTCCACTTTGAAGATTTCCTGACCTTCTAATATTGGTATGGACAAAGAACTGAAAAACTCCTCTTTCTCCCCAATCACCTATTCTCTCCCCAAAACATAGGAGGCAGTTCTTCTACAAGCTGCAATCTGTTTTCCCAGGTTCTCCTTTCTCTCAAGATAAGCTGTATGTTGTAGTTAATAATAGAGATTTTACTGATAAAAGGAAACCCTCAAATATAAAGGGGGGATGGAGATGGTGATCGTTCTTGTTAGATATTAAACTTACCCTAAACAATGAAAAAACCTGAACTCTGCTCAACTTTTAGAGTATCAGGCTGTTACAATGACGATTAATAAGAGAAAAAATAAGATTAATATGACGGAGGAAATTCAAATGGCCACAAGATAAAGAGATTTTGGCTAAAAAGAACAGAAAATAGAAAGCTTTAAAGGGGATGCAAAAAGAAAAGCAGTAAAATTAAATTTTGTGTTCCCAAACATATGGTAAAATTTGACTAACAGCCAATAATCATTTTCTAGCAAGGAAAAGAAAGCATACTCAATAAAACATGATGATTATGATACATCTCTTCCCCTACTAAAAAGAAAGTAAGACATTTATCCATAATGCATGATTACTTTATAATAGACTTCTGGGGTACTTTCACTGAGGGGTTCCCTCAGGGGGGGAAAAGATGTCATTAGGGCAAGCAGCAGAAATTATGTAATATAAAGAATATGCTGTGGAAAGACTTATTTTTTGAACATTCAGTTTGTAGACTTTGTTTTACAAAGTCAGTTTGCTTGTTTAACACAGAACGTAGAGCTGTTTTATTTTCACTTGTTTCACTACATATTCTGAGGCACACAAGATGAAATAAAGTACAATTTGACCCAAGTATACAGAGTATTTCTGTGATGAGATCCTTATACATGGAGATTACCTTTGAAGCTGTCTGTGATGAACTATTTGAATTAAAGATTTTTATGTTCCTTATATATATTTAATGTAGAATGTACCCTCTATCAGTGTCTGACACTAAGTTGTAAACAAATAAAAACAGTAATACTTCACTTCTGATGCTTTTTGGAAGATTAATACTGTCTTTGTCTTGAACTACCATTTTAAAATCATTATCTGGCAAAATGGGGAGGTCTAATCTCAAGGTAAGCTGAATCATGTATCTTCAAAGAGTTTGTAATAAGTACCCAAATCAAGATGCAGATACTGGAAAACAGTGTAATTACATTTAACTTTTCATTAAGAACCTGATAAACAATGTCCTGACTTTAACCCTTAGAAAACTCTGCATAAAAAAGCTGATTTGCATCATGTCTGAATCAAACCCAAATACTCTAAAACAAAGTGTTGTTGTTGTTGTTATGTGCCGTCGAGTCGACCCCGACTCATAGCGACCCCTCCTTGGGTTTCCGATGCAGTATCACTACAGAAGTAGGACTGCCCAACCTTCCTTCCGAGGAGTGGCTGGTGGGTTTGAACCGCCAGCCTTCTGGTTAGCAGTCAAGTGCCTTAGGCACTATGCTACCAGAGCTCCTAAAAACAAAGTAGGAAATTAAAATAATTATGATTAAAGTCATTTTCTTCACAATAATGTTCAACAGAAACACTATTAGCAAATAATAGTGTGTGGAATCCAGAGTAACAAAATAGGCATTCTAGAAATTTCACCTTTGTAGGACAGTCATATGTCCATAATAGCTGTATCTTCCTTTGGCAAACACTCCAGTCTCCAGTTTCCAATTTAAAAATCACTCAGTTAATTGTGAAAATCAACTTTAGAAAAAAGAAAAAATATATCCACAGTCTGTTAATTATCAACTTACAGGTTACCTGATAATCCCAGATCTCTAGAGTTCACACAATTTCTATAGCACTTAATATATTTAGGTTAATTACTGAGTAATACAGATGTGTACATGCAAGTCTGTGTATGTGACAAATACAGATTTGTTGGTATTCCTTCTTTCTAAAGGTTTTGTTGCAACCATAGTAGGTATGACATAACAGGGAAAATAACTTATCCTATTAACATATATATTTTCTTAAATTTTATTTATGTGGTATTCTAAAAGCAGGTATCTTTGAAGGAATAAAATAGAGGAATTGTTAAAGAGAGGTAGAGCTAGAAAGAACTTCAAAGGTAAGTTTCATGGTGTGAAGTGCACGACAAATGTAAAGGATACAAAAAGGCACACATCATCAATATGAAAAACAAAACCAAGAAAACAAAAAAATGAGCATCTTCTTGCTATGAAGCAATTAATACACTGAGACTGAGCACCAAGCATGTGTGTGTGTGTGTGTGTGTATGTGTGTATAAAACAAATTCCTTCCCTTCTATGCTGCAAATAAATTATTATATTCAAGCCTTTAAAAACTGTGTAAATATTCAAAATTTAAAGCCAAATGCCTTTGTGCCAAATTGCACTTGCTATTTCTTTTAGGAATAATTTATAAAAACATATTTTATAATCATATACAATTCACATATATAAAAAGAGTTTGTTTATTGTACTTCAAATACATAAACTGAACATTCAAACATCTTAAATTTAAACTTTAGGAACAAAAGTGTAACATTCAAACAGGAGTATAGTTTACAAGGAACCAGAAAGGTAATTTATTATCTAATCCAGAATATTGAGAAAGATCACTTAATGGCAAATGTGTTTAACCAGCAGTCCTAATCTGGCCAACCTGTTAGTTAATGACCGTGGTTCAATACCTGAGAAGAAATTACTAAATAAATCTTCTCTTAGGCTAAACAACAAGATTTGGCCTATAATTCAAAGGGAGTAATCAAAGCACATAAGTGAACAAACAAAACTAAACTTTCTTTAGAGACAAAAGTAAAAGCATGTTCATTATAATCATCTTAGCCTCTGGAAGATTTCAATTTTCAGTGTTTTCCCTTTTACCCGCTTTAAAAAACAAAATAAAAACAAAACAAACTCCAACTAAGGTTTTCTCGGAGTATGTGGTATTTGTATCTTTCAAGTTCAAACCACAAATGCTTTTACATCTTGCATGTGTAACACTGCTAGGAAGAACGTCACCAAAAGTCACTGACTTCCACACCTCATAAAAGGATGATTTTTAGTTTCAAGAGTTTAGATTTACTAGAGACAGCCTATATTTGAGTATGTATGTCAGTCATGCCACACAAAGAAAAGCATAAATATTTCCAAAGTGTTCTCTGTTCAGACACTGTTCACAAATGCTTCTCCTCCTGTTCGTCAGATGGTTTTGCAATAAGTTGACTAATGTACATATATGTAAAAATCTGAAAACTGGTTCATGCAAGCATTTTGAATTAATAGATACCCCTGTGGAAGAGTATTCTGAATTATTTTGTAGATCGTCTTGTGGGCTCTGAGGCTGTGGGAGGTGGGGGTGGACCCCGGCGATCCAGGTCATCAACATATGCCACGATCAGTTTACGCCTCTCCTCTGGCACACAGTCCAGCACTAGATACCGTTTGTCATTCTGCAAAATTTTTTCTACATCTTTCAGGTGCTGATCAGATTCTTGGATTAGCTTTTTAGATCTGAAATAAGAGAAAGAAGTCCAAGAATTACTGACTGCTGTTCACAGGTCTTTCAGAAATGAGCTGGAAATGTCCATCTAGTTCCTAATTGTGTTTCCATTTTTTTTTTTTAAAGAAAAATTTCACTGCAGTGGTCACCTTTGTAAGTCACCTCAGCAAAGACTCCAAGGAGTGAAAGGGCCTCAGAAGCTGAATTACCCTCCCACCCCTACTGGTGGTCCCTCCAGATCAGGGCTGAGGGTGGGTGGGTAAATCTTGCCCGTGCTGTACCTGTTCTGTGGATGAACAGAGGACTTCAGTCTGCAGGGCTGCCAATCCCAGCATCTTTCACAAGCTTTCACTTTCACATCTTTCACTAAATTAACTATAAAAATGTAGAAAGAAGTCTTACTTCACATCTAATTTAAAAGCCCAAGCTGATGCAAAACATTAAGGATCCTGACCAAAAAATCCAAATGACAAAATACCTAAAAACCACACCCTCAGCACTATCTATCCTCCCGTGCACAACCCTTAAGATGTTTCAATTTTTTTAAAAGAAGAAAAGTTGTAGCATGAAACAAAAATGGTTTCCTGCATATTGATTGGTAAACAATGTAAAATTGTTTTCCTGATG